ATTTTCATCATATCTCTACGTTTCAAAATATCTGCAAGCATACTGAATAATTTTCAGAATGATATGTGTGTGTGTGTGTGTACGTACGTATGTATGTATGTATATACAAACGTCAGTATTTTTTGAATTGAGATATCGACTTTAACCGAAATTTATTCGAAAGATATTATTATAAAAAAGATCTGAGTACAATTTAAACAAATTCAGCTGGCCGTTTATTTTTTATAACAAAAAAACTAATAGTGAATAAAGAGAAAGATAAATCATTTAAAATGCTTTTAAGCAAAAGAGTAACAATTTAATTCGAAAATTAAGTCGATGTTGACTAGACATTATTGTTTACAACCAAATATGAATTTGTCGTTTTAGTAGCAGTCAATATGAGTGTGATAAAAAAAGGAAAGCTCTCAGTTATAGACCAATCGAGAAACCCAGGGTAATTCAAGAACATAAAACAGTTGCCAGTGATATATGAAGTCAACAGGTCAGCTTGGACGACATCACACTTCTTTCAAGAGGAAGAGAGGAAATGGAACGTTGAATTAAAAAATCTGGGAAATCTTGCTTCTAGGGAACGATTGTCTTATTCCGATTATATTCAATCTTTGGAACGTCAAATCACCAGTTTTTTTTAGCTAATGCAACCGATATTTTGCAGTCAATGGATCAGAATGTGATTAAAAGTTAAGGATCACTATAGAACAAAATTGCTCATACTCTCAATCGACATACTGAAAGACGTGAACTTCATATTGGAAGTCTGGCATGAAGTTACAGCAGCGAAAATACATCATTCTTTTTGTTACGTGAGACTATGTAACAATTAGTTTTATAATAACAACAATCTATCATTGAGTGATTGAATACATCGTTCAACACATCAGACAATTTTAACGAAGATTTACTAACATACGAAAGTATAGATTAGAACCTAATCACAACTGCTTCACTAACTAATAAAGACATTCGTGATTCAGTATCAAATACTGAAAGTGTATATAATGTTAAGAAAAAATGACAGATGGCATGTAACTTGTTTTTTCTTCTCTTGATAAAGATAAATAAATCGAATAGATCAGTAAAAAGGCAGAGTACTAGAGTAATATATACTGAAAAAAGGCAGATCAATACCGTAAGGCAAGAAGTCAGAATGAGGTACTGAGTTTAGATAGGCTGATGCACAAGGGATGAGCAGGTAAGAAGAATCACCAATACTAGAAACAGACCTATGGCACCATGAACGAAAACCGAGACGCATTTTACGCACAGGTAGCAAAAGAGGGAAAGCGTGCCTTAGGGCAGCTCACCGTGAAGGAAAAGTCTTAGCAAGAATGATGTAGATTCCGGAAAAGGAAATTTGAATATATTAAACACCTGATTGACAGAAAAGCCATAAAATAACCTCATTAAGCTCTCTAAACAAGCTTGAAAGATCAGAAAAAAACCTAGTTTTGCTCTAGCCTTCGTCTTTTCTAAAGTTCTTGGCGGGTTCAGTGTAAACTCTGCCGTAACTTTTGAAACACGAATTACTTTAAAATTTTCCCTAGAAGCTGTTTTCAAAGCTTTATACTAGTGAATATATATTTAATCTAACAAGTAAAGTTATTCGAGATTTGAACCATTCTATTTAAAAATTTAACCTTGAATAACAATATTTTTGCATCTCTCAATTTGTTCTAACATGGAGGGGCCCAAGTCAGTTCGTCTTAAAATATTCAAATTTTTCTAATGCCGGACTTACCCCCCGGCGCGTCAGTCAACTCACTGGACCAATCGTCAAGAAGTATTTCCCTCATGCCCCAGCAGACAACTCTACGGCCCTAGTGACACCAACAAGCACGCAGTCGAGCACTTGTGGCGTCAGTTAGCTCCAGGCAAATTACGCGGTCAATTTTGTAATTGTTCTCGCAGTGAAATCACAGATTTGTGCAGTAAACTCACTCTTTTTACAAAAAATACGGTTTAGTCGTCTCTAGTGGCGTATCACGAACAAACGTGACCTAAAATCATCATTTAGTCCTTCGAGCCGGATGAGAACGGTTTGGATGCATCTCAAAAAATTCGACAAGGTTTTCGGTGTTAATGAGTGTGTGAAAATTTAGTGAAATTTTCAAGTTTCAGTTTTGGTGAAAATTTTCAACTCAGTCAACTCTTTGTGTTTAAGTGTAAACAACCTCATAGATAAAAGGTGTTTACGTATTTCAGTGCTAAGTGACACTCATATTTGTTTTTGTCGTGCATTGGTGCTTATTCTAACCAACTTGTAATTTTCTTTGGACGCTTGGCGCGCATTTTGTTTAATGTACAAACGTTGTCAAAATAACCTTGACGCACGTGTAAATGAACATAGTTATTTAGTTAGTTTAGTGTCCTTGGTATAAGTTTAGTCACCTCAAATCATTATTAAGAGTTCGTGGACTCGTTCAGTTAATTTGTGTGATTCTGTTGGTGTTTAGATTTGATTGAAAGCTCACCAGTGTCAAAGTGACATCAAACAACTCTTTCCACAGTTTTGGTGCAGTTTTTTTGTGATTAATTAAATTTTTTGTGATCTCAGACAATTCGAGTTAGTTAATCATGGCAGAGAAACGGGTAATTTCTCCTGCTAAGTTAGACTGTGCTGATTGACGACAATGATTCACTTGAAGGTGTCAGTGAAAATTTAGAAGTGAGTATTGAACCAGTGGCAACAGACATTCCCGGCGTCTCTCGTGTTGATGAGAGCACTGACAAGATCCTAAAAGTTCCAAACAAGGCGTCAACCTCAAGAGAATGGTTTAAATCACCACCATCTCTTGCGAACACCACACATTGTAGGCTCACATCCCAAATGTCAAGCTATCAGTAGCTACAATTCATGCAGCAAGATGTCACAGAATTAGTTAAGCAGCTTAAACTCATCAAGAGGAGCATCATTGAAGGGAAGCTTGTACAACTTAACACATTATGGACCTCATTCGCAGTTGGGCATGAGTCATTGGGTGTTAGATGCCGATTGACTCTATTTAAGCATCAATATATGACAAATAAAATGTATGATAGTGCCTCGAGGATCAACTACCACATCGAATCCACTCTTCATCGTGTGAAGTCTCAACTTCATAAACAAGAGATGCAGAAGGTCATTAATAAGTACAAGTCAGCAACACAACAGCTAACTTAAGTAATATACTAGAAGGTACCACGTAACTCTTCCGGAAATCACACTCCCACAGTTCAAAGGCAACTCATCAACCTGGACTCAGTTTCGTGATGTGTCCACGTCTCTGGTGCATAATTGCACAGACCTACGACCAGTCTCCAAACTTCACTATCTAAAGGCTAACCTATCAGTCCCACCAGCATATCTCATCAGACATGCCGTTATAAATGATAATGGCTACGAGATAGTCTGGACTCAACTGAAAGAGAGGTATAACAATCTTGAGCAACTTTTATTTTTTCATATTAAACATCTGTTTAGCATTTCACCACCATCACCCAAGTCAGCTGAACAGTTAGATAACCTAGTAAGCATGGTGAAGCAGAACTTGGATGCCTTGAAAGCACTCAACGTCCCCGTCGACTCAGCAGACTACTTCCGAGTGGACTTGGTGGCCGGTAAACTTGAGCAGCCGCTACGAGAGTCCTGGGAATTAGAGCGAAGTAGGTCTCGCTCACCGACAACTCTCAACCACTTACTCTCCTTCATTTCGACTTGTGCACGAGCAATGGAGTCTGCGCAAGATGCAGCTCGTCAAGCAAAACGATGGCCTACTCTAGTAATCACGACGAAGTCCAGGTGTCAACAACAGTCAACTCAACCTCAGATGACTTGAGCCTCCAGACATGGGGCTCAAAAAAGACAGGCTGATTACAGGATAATCAGTTTTGTGTTTTTGGGCCCGAAGCTGTACTATTATCGACGCCATAGTGCCTCATGGACAGTCATACGTACAGCACACTACCGAACAGCTCACCTGTACAGGCGTGCCTATCGCTACACGCTGTGTTAGAGTATTTTAGTGATTTAATTTTTCAGACAATTCTTTCAGTGAATGATATAGACAATTCACGGACAACTCACAAACAATTAGTAATTAATCATATGTATTCATAGAATAAGTGTTTTTGTTAATAAAAACCCGAAAAACCATACTTGTTGGTGTTCGTGCATTATTTTCTGAACCTTTTTCCGCATTTAACCTCCCACTAGTTAATGCAGTCTACTAGATCTTGTCGATTTTCTCATCTTGGCTGACTCGAAGTCAGAACACAATTCAATGAAATAATTTTTAAGTCTGAAACAAATACTATTGAATAAAGGGAACGTAGTGAAAGCATTTTTGAGATTTTATTTGACGCGTAAAGAAAGTTAACAAATGCTAAACAATAAAGGCTCAAGCCAATAGACTAGACGGAAGCAGTCTCGACAAAGACAGCTGTAAATCATCTAACCAGCACACGGAGCTGAGTATTTTTAAGCGACACTATAACCTGCCGCATGACAGCCAGCTGCACATAGCTCCAATTTTCTGCTACCTACGTTTTCGACCCTTGTACAATTTTTTCTACTCAACTCAAGTGAGTAAAGAGTAATAAAGATTATCTATAATAAAAGGAAAAACGCTCGTATTGATTTTATATGTTAAAACATATTAAAAAATGTTGTCATCAGAACTTAGCTTTTTTTTCTTGACTCCAAATATCAAAATTTTCTGTAAAAAACTAAAATGTTCGGTCCCTTAAATTTCATTATAAAGATTTTATACTGCATAGATCTATTCCGTTTATGTCTTCGATAAGTGTTATTTACGCCTATAAATTGATAAACGTAGTCTAATTGGTGTATTCAAATTAGTAAAACACTCAATCCTTGAGTTGTTCAGTAGGGGAAGAAATTCTAACATTTTGATAAAATTAAGATGGTTATTTTTAATTTTTTATTCCAGACCAAGTGACAAGTTTGATGTATGTACAATAATGTATTCAATTTAAATTTTGTTTTTATCATAGTCGATATGGGTTTGCATCGTTTGCCGAAAGAAACAAGAATTACTTTCGAAAACTGGACAATGGATGGGTAAAGGAAATATGGGTGCAGAAGATGCAGCTATGCTGAGACGAATGCAAGAGGACATGCAGAGTTCACGTCATCTTGAATTAACACATGACAAAAGACCGAAATTAGAAAGAGCTCATAGTGCTGCTGAAAAAGAAAACCTTCCGCTCCTTCAAAGAAGTGAAAGTTTATTCCGACGACAATATTCTCAGCAAGAACAGGTATAGTCCAATCATTTAAGATTTTATACACGGAAATATTGAAGGGGATAAAATTTTGATACAATATTTTTGCAAAGGACGTAGAATTAGTTTCTCGTAAAAAAATAAGCTCCAACACCGGGCAATGATTGAAATCACCCTTCAAACGCTTTTTTGTGCTTTTTTTCATGTTAAATCTCTTTTTTTTTTTCGAAAACTATAACAAACATAAAAAAATGTTTTAAACAAAAGTTGTAGTGGCTACGATGTTACATACGAAAGTTCACATCTTTGCAACTTTACCTTTAACAGGTAAAAAGTTATTGACCTCTAAAGGTTGAAAAAAATTAAAAACGATGAAAATATTGGACAGCCTTTGGGTACGATATTGCTGTCAGAGAGACAAAGTGATATGTAAGCGCTTGTCACACTCATTGCAAGTATTTTATCATAATAAACATACCTAACCAAAGCACAACGTAAACAAAATCCATAAGATAGGTAAATATGGTTATGTTTATGTATTAAAAATGTAGAAAAGATTTTTAAGACTTCTGAAAAAGTAAGTTATCACTAGAATTGGATAGAGTAAGTACTCTAAGTGACATATAAAAATTAAAGAATTAAATAGCATCAATCGATTCAGTATTTAATGTTGAGTGGATTAATAATATTTATTTTTTAACTTCTCAGTGGAAAGTTATTTGATTTTTTTTATTGATACATAGAATAACTGGGGGAACAAAAAAATAATAATATAAAAGAGAAAAATTATTTCCAAGTTAGCTTTGATCGACTTTGCGAAAAAACAGAGTTTTTTTCAGTTATTTCTATTTCTCTTTTATTTGATACTCCTAATACTAGTAGTACCTATATTGAAAATTAATTAATTTTCAATTTGAACAATCATCTAAGACGAACTTCGGTGGCCATCTTGGCGATGGGTCGATAACTAATCGACCAGCCAATCGATAAATTCTCAAATTCTAGTCACTCAATTGACCAAAATCTAGTGTCAAGTGTGACCAGTAAAGGTTCAGTCGTGGGGTTCTTTTGCGAATCTCGATCTTCACACGGCCACTCTAAATCGTGTAATGTAAACTTAATTCTCCTGAGACAATCTGTGAAGTTTGTGATATTCAAAATAACAGAAATCATTTAGCTATTCATCCTAAAGATAAATCAAGAAATATTTCTAGACAATTCTCAGCAAATTCAAGTAATTAAACTCCAATTCATTTCGCATTGCATGATAGGCTAATGTCACGTGTACAATCATAATATTGCTTGACTTAAGAAGCGTGTTGAGCTTGTGTGAGAGATCAATAATACTGAATACACCAAGTTAAGCCATTTTTTAGACATTCAATTATTATTCTGTGATTTTTATTAACATTCGTTCAGTTCAAGTGGCATTCATTCATTTTTTAGGGACTAAAACTTGTACAGTGTATATTGTGTATTGATAGTGCTGAAAAATAAAGATTATTACATTCTTTATAAATACGACTTCCTAATTGCTCTGTTCCGGCACACTCATTTCTATCCTTAACTGGTTAGGTTATTCAAAGTTAAAATTTCGTGAACAATCTACATAAAGTATAAAATAATTAATAAAAAAAAAATGTCATATAAGATAGATGATTGAGGTATGAAATATAATATATTTTATATTTTAGGTTCCTAATCGAAGATTATCAACCAGTGATAGTGGAGTGGAAATGTCTGTATCCCCTCACTCTCGAAGTTTGCCAAATCCGCATGTTGTTGTAGGCTCTTATCCTCAACAAACGCCGCGACACCCTGCCGCTTTCCCTGAAGACGATCCAAACATTTACCGAGGGGAGTTAGATGGTTTGATGAGACAGCATGCGCAAACGTATCAAAGATCACGCTCAATTTTTCAGGTACATTGATCAAATAGATTCAGCAATAAAACATACGCATGATGGTTTCACGCAACATCATGTGATAAGCTTATAAGCTTCATAAATTTTTCATGTTATAAAACATAGTAATGTTTTTGTTATTGAATAAAAATTTCGCTAAATTTTGTATTCGTTGTTGAACTTTTTATAAGGTTTGCGAAATTCAATTATCATTCTGAAATTCTTTTATGAGTTGATAAAGATTTCACGAAATGTCTATGATTTGATAAAAAAGAAATACTGAAAAGGATAAAAATCTTATCAATGACTTAATTTTTTTTCGATTAAACTCCAAGTAACTCAACTGCATAGTTATTTTGAAGAAAAAAAATTTAAAACAGTCATAAGTAGTGCCGATAAAAATGAAAACTTACAACTACAAAATTATCATGATTAGTTTGAATTATGTCTTTATATGGTTTAGAGAATCATTTTTGCTAGTTACGCTTTTCGAATTATCAATTTTTTTTTTATGACATCAATATTCGCTGCAACCGTGAGATTTCTGTATTAATTAATGACAGGCTTTTAATCAAGTATAAAATTGGTTCTCAACAATGCCTTATGGGCAAAAGAGAAAAGATCGTTTGAAACCTAAATGAAGTAAAATGAGAGTTGTATCATGGGGCGTTCCGGATTACAATAAAGTTGCTACTAAGAAAAAAATGAAGTTGGTGTCAATATTTCCACTGATGTCTAAATTTTCTTAACGATCATCATTTATCAATTAAGTTAAACGAATCTTAACAAATTTGTGTTAATATGTGGAAAGTATAATCAACTAGTTGTTTTTTTTATCAAAGGATCAAAAGTCAAATCTGGGTATGCCTTACGATCATTCTGGCATAGATATTTCACGTGTTCATTCTCTTCAACCCCATCATCATCAAAACCAAGAAAAACATCCTCAACGACTAGTCCCCACTGATACAAATTCCGGATCTTTACATCAACAACGAAGTTTTAGTAGTAGTGAAGAGGAACGTAGTACTCCTGAATGTGCTAGTGATGAACCTGATGAGTCCGAGAAGGGTAAGTAATTTTCAATTCCAACAATATTTATTGAACGTTATTCTTATTATATGGTAAAAAGACCAGCAAACCTAAAAATTTTTTTCTACAAAATTTGAAAAAACCTATAAAATAGAGCCAGTGATTATTGAATCTCAAACATTTTAGGCTATGGTAAAAATTTTCAATCCAGACGATTAAGAAAAAAGTTCGAATGAGCAGATTTTCAGTCGTTAAAAATTATCAAATGAACGTGCAATTGATTCTTTACTTAAAATATTTATTGAGTAGTAAATATTATCAATAGTTTTATTACAATCGATAAGTTAAGAATAAACAAGAAAGATAATTTACAGTTGATTAGATAAATAGGTAGTGAACCACGATATCTAATGACGTAAATAAAATACCATGTTAGAACGTGAATAGAAATATACGATAATTTTTCTTTCATATACACTAATTTTCTTCTAATAATACACATTATTATGGTAGAAAGCACAAGAAGATCAGTTAAGTATATTTTAACTTAGATTCATTATACAAATTCATCTTAATGTTGCTGAACAAATGATTTTAAAGATTAAAGAATTTATGTGTCCATTACAAAAAGAATATATAGGGGAGACTAGGGTAATTACGAACATCTAAAGGAGAACTGAAATAGAATAAAAGGAGTTGAAGTTATGGATGTTTTTTATTATGAAAAGCTTATTTGAAGTTATGGAGCTTAAGATCTCACAATCAACGTGAATGAATTTTCAATAAAAAATCAAATATCTATAAGTCAACAAAGTCTTGGTGTCTGGGATTACTTTACAGCGCGTGGGGCTTTTACGGATAGTGTAAATTCTATCATCATTTCATTTTCAGAAAAATCATTTTAATAAATTTCTACTAACCGATTAGTTTTCGTAGGCCCCACAGATTACATTTGTTACATTCTATCTAATCGTCAAAATTAAAACGCGTTACCGTTTTGATGATTGAAACTCGTATACATCAGACGTCTTTTTTACTTACACAATTTTTGCTGATATTATATACAGAAAGATCAAAAATTGCGCTTTTCTTGAAATGATTACATCAAATTTCTTCTAAGATTAAGATAATTAACGAGATGGCGATGAAAAGGAATGATTATTGGTTTTGATAATAATTTATTATCGTATCATTTAATAGAATGAATTTGATATTTCGGATCTAGAAAAAAGTATCTACTATTCATAACTTGAGTAAATGACATCCGTTTGAAATTTGCGCCTTATAATCTTTCAATTGTACTTTCATTGATGATAAACACTGTCCATATCTACTATCAAGTAGACATAGAAAAATATACGCATTTTATAAAAAGATTACCAGTACAAAATGCATACGGAAGATGTTGTTGCTCCCAATTATTGATATACAGATTATTAGAAAAGGCAGTAAATATTATTCATAAGTGATCATCGATTAACAAGGTGAGTTTCCAGAAATAGCTTAATTTGAAAAATCATTATTTCTAGAATTTTACTAGACATAAAAATAATAAATATTCTCAACTGATATGAAATTTGAATAAAATAATATTAATTCTAATATTTTTCTTTGTAGAAATAGTTGCGTAGTAATAGGCATGATAGGAATAAGAAAAAGATTTTTTTTAATGCAGTTGTCTATTTTTCATCATAAGGATTTTTATGATGGAGTAGTAAGTATGAACTGTTGAATTATAAGTTCCAAAAATAACAGAAGATAGTAAATTTAAATGTTAATCGATGTCTGCATTTCGTTAAGATGATTATTAACTTCTCTCATTTAACAACACATTGGATAAATAAATTTATAATTAAGTATAAACTACTCTACATTTCTTCAGTGTATCTTCCTCATAAATTTGAAATATGTTATAAACGTAAAAATACATGTTCATTGTTTAACGTCATAGACGAACGATAAGTTTCAACACACTCTGAGATGCGTTAAAAATAACAAAAAAACTCAAAAGTTTGTGTTCAACCATATTCACGGTGTGTTATTCTAACACACATAAGGTTTATTATGTTAAATAAGTATAAAACTCTTCATTAGTTTATAATCTTTCACATACTCAGTTGAGAGAAATTCGGGTCGTAATTTATTATTTAGTACTATATTTACGAAAATTTAAATAAAGCTATTCAAGAAAAAACAACATCAACGGAGCTGATTTTAATTTCAATCTCATGTTCTAATTTCACAAAAGTTTTCAATTAATCAAACAAAATTCCTGTTACTTTCGAACTGATTTGAATCTCTATTGAAACCGAATTCTGATTTTCTTTCTAAATCAAGGAGTAGCAAAGTCCGCTATAGTAGATGTGGGTATATGAACGTGAGTCCAAAAAATAGATTCGGATTTTGCATAAAAATTTATATGATTAATAACATAAATTTTTTGAATTTTTCTCGTAAGAAGTTAAAAATGGTTTAGTTTTAAAACAATAAAAATTTTTAAAATCGTATAAAACTAGTTCACGTAAGAGAAATATTGTTTCTTTTACTTTCATAACTCGTTGAAACATTTAATTATAAAATAATTCAGGATTACTTACAAAGTTTTCAATTTATTAGAAAGAACCTTGTCTATGTTCTTATACGATATTTTTTGCTTTCTGTCACATATATACTAATGACATTTACCGCCTATAGCAAATTTCTTTCAACCAGCAAAAACTAGTAGATTTCCATAAAACAATTATCAAATGTATCTGCACTATTCTGGTGTGCGTTGTTCTAGCGTCAGTTTCAATTATTTTTTCGCTCGATGATAGCTGCTTTACCTGAACGTTATTCTTGAAATTGAATAAAGAGTTGAAGCTTTTACATAACACTGCGTCCACTATATTTGTAAGATTATTGAAGTATCAGAAAATGCATTAAGTGATTTTTTTTGTTCTCAACTTAGAACAACTATTGGTACATTTTTAAGAGTTTTTATTTGAATAAAAAATAACGACATGTTTAACGATTGCTATTTTCTATTTCAAAACTGGCAATGGTGTATGTGAATTATTTTGATGAATAATTTAGTGTGTATATTTCAGTGTTAGTATTAAAAATATTGTTTAAAAAATTCTATTGTCAAAAGTTTAAAATTATTCAAAAATTTCAAAGTAAAAGAGAAACTATCGCAATGAAATATTAAAAATTTTCAGTTCATTTGCGGAATAGATCAATGATTACCTGAATATTTAAATAATAAATTAAAATAAAGATAAGCCTCATTATCAATGCATAATTTTTTTTAGAAAGTTAATAGAACATACGCATGCTCTTGTAATTTTTTTTTTGTTACAATCAAACTATTATTGATTATCTTTGTATTCATACTTTTTTTAGTTTAAACTTGTAGACTAAAATATTTTTCGCATAAACAAGTTTAAGTAAATGGGGTTTTAGGTGAAAAGCAAGTTCCAATTGAGGCGAATCTAAGAAGTACCAGGAATAAGGCCGGTGACAGAAATTATCGCCAAGTGATGCTGGCCGAGAAGATGAAGAAATTTCTCGCGGTATCTTTTATGATGATATAATGATAAATGTCACAAATATAAACGCATCTATTTGTGTGATATACATATATCATGATGTTTTGATTATTATATTATTTCGATGTCTTAGTAATTCACTCTCATTTGCTGAGCACTGTGAAAAATTAAAAACAATTTTATTTAGTAATTTGAAATTCTTATGCTCTTGTTATTATGAAAAATAGAACTTTTTTTTGTCTGTATCAAATTATTATCCCCGGATGAAAAATAATATATATGTCGAAAACATAAATTACAAAGTATTTTAATGTAGAAATATTCAGTTTAGAATGAAAAAAGATTAGTAAACATTACATATATATGTATGTTACTTGAAATATTGATGTGAGTAGAAATGAACATTTGATTTCGGATACGTTCTAAGAAAAAGTAATGTTACGGCATAAATATTAAACATATATTGAAACACAGATCTAAGAATTACTTTGACGTATATAGCAGATAAGAAATTCTATCATTACATGTATATGTACATATAAATTTCTTTTTGTCCGGGCTTAAGTATGTAACTGCATGTAAGTATCGTGCTCTAAAACACTTCCTAGTCCGATTAATTTGCTGTTGTTGCAATCAAAATACTTCTTTTTTAAGCACAATAATCGCGAAAGTCGATAGTAAAAAAAATATACCACTTTTTAATTATTTAGTTAAGAGTAAGTTTTCCACTAAAGGTGTAAAGTAAAACATTGTGGTCCTGAGCCAAAGACGAGGGATTAAATCTTGTGAGTTACAAAAATATTAAAAACATCGAAGGTTGAGTCTTAGAATATTCTAATGCCAAATTCACTTCAATTGCTTGTGCCACAATTCATACTGGAGTTCATTTTCAATGTAATTAACCTGATACTTCAAGGCCATTTACTATCAAGGGAGAAAGCATAGCTCTTTAATGTGAAATGTGAAACATTAAATAGTATAAGTTACATGAACAGTTTCACTATTCATGCATAGAAAGCATTCACTAATTGCACAGGTTTACTGTTGAGAGGAAGTTAATTGTTTACGGACTTTTAAAACACAAAAATTTAAGAAAAATAGCATGCCAGCCATTGAGCTGAACAATGAAAAAAATTATTATAATTTTTAAAGAGAATTCGAATGAAAATTGCGGCGCTTTCTCATAATGCGGTGATAACTGACAGATGAAGAAAAAAGTGCAATCAGTATTAATGACGAAAAAGTGACTAAGGAAATATTTCAGTGTTTAACGTAATTTTTACTGCAATTCAAAATTTTCAATTTTATGGCACTACAGTGTAATTTTTAGTATCGTCTAACTGTAGTTGAAAATTTTCGGTTACAGTATGAATGACATTTGGCATCGATATATTTTTGTGATAATTATGTTTTAAAATGAAAAATAGAATTGAATAATTTTTCAGTGAGATTTCGTCCTGTTTAACTCTCTCCCGGATGACTTTGAATCCCCACCACTGAATGGGACGTTACGTAGTTCAAATACTGTAAGCGGAAATCACGAGTAACAGAGCAGTATAAACTAAAAATTACAAATTTATAATCGATTTAAACATGTTATACAAATTTAAACATTTTTATAACAGATTTGAAATTAAACATTTCTATAGATAATAATATAGTAAAAGAATTATCGAGTAGTCATATTTTTTTGATAATCATATTATATTTATCCATCACATTTAAAATTTAACATTTTTTTAACAAATGAATATGTATTATTCTGATCTAATGTTTTTGTTTTTTTCTATAATTATGACTCAACTATAACGTAAAATAAAATTTTTAGTTATAATATGACTGAAAACACATAAATTTGCACAATGGGATATTACACTCCCACGTGGTTTGAATCTTACGACCAGTACTTGTTCGATTACCTTGCACCTTACAGATCACACAAGTTTTTGATGTACTTTTAATTAACTTATGAATATCTTTCTTTGAAATATTTCCTGCATTTTGAACCATCTTGGCATCGCTTAATAATAATTGCACTATTTCTTCTAAATTCTAGTTGAATGAGGCGATAAGCAGATGATTGTTTTCTATTCATAAGATTGTGCAAAATGTAAGCATTGATAATACAAGAATCGATAACATAATTGAACATAAACTTCAACCACTTTTTTGCTGATCGACCGGTTGAATAGTACGACCGATTTTGTAGGTTTCGCGGGCATGTATCGCTCATAAAAACACGACCTTTAGGTCCGGCCGTTTGTTTATCGACAGCAAGATTCTGTCCTGGGTCAAAAAAGTCGAGCCATTTTTTTGTTAAATCTAATCCAGATCTCACTTTAAATAATACATCTTGATCAGCTGTTAAATTATTAATATCATTGAGATAAAAATACTAATTTAATTTTTTAATCTAGTATGACTCATCGCATCTTTGACCAGTTTACACAATACCATATCACTAGAAAAATACATTGAAGTTTCTAGTGATTCTAAAATTTCCATATAAATCAACATAGCAATATACCGTTTCATCTCTTTTGCGTGTGTTTCGAACCGTTCTTTATGGTTTCCATTAAAATTTTGACAATCAGCGTATTTACGCATTTCCGTTGCAAGTAGTTGATAAAACTCTTCATTTGAAGAATACGATAGTGTAAAAAATTAAAAAAAAGTCTGCAATAAAGTATAGCTAGATCGATAGAGAATAAAATTTCCTATCGATCTATATACATGATTATGAGACCTAAAATTGTGAAATTTTCTTTAACATTTGAAGCGCATAGAACTTGGTAAATTCTCGCGCTGACAAATTCCGAGCTCAGCAGTCGGAAATCCTTTTTCACTACCAAGCATGAGCCTAAAACAGCCCTTCTTCACTCACTGTACAGGGTTCTTGTTGCTCTTACGGTTATAGTGTGCATTTCACTCGCACTCATGCTTTTCAATACTCGGCGCGTGCGCAGAAGTTTTATGTGAGTGCGAGTGAAACAGAGAGGTATCTACTGCTCTCTGTCACTCCCAACGACGCCACAAGAGGAAAAAGGCCCCCAAATATTAAAACCTGTCTAATTTTTGACAGGTGAAAAATAGCGCAGAATATTGTATAGGTTATTACGCCGTGACTACCTCACACCATACGTGTATTTAATTTTTGATGACCGTAATATTATTATGCCTGTGTCTCGAGACTCAGGGCAACTCCCTTACTTATTTTTCTCAAGCGCAGTAACACATTAGTAGCACTACTTTTGTATTTTGATATTTTTTCATTTTTTTATTCAGGCAGTCGACAGGAAACTATCATTGAAGTAGAAACAGAAATAAATAAAGTTTTCTCGATTCATGTGAAGAATAAGAATCAAAATATTGTCAATAAGTTTAGAATATTCAGTAATAAATAGAAGTGATTAATTAACTGTACTGTTGTTAACTATAATTTTAGTGCTAAACATTTAAGTGTAATTAATATTGAAAGTGACAATAAATTTGTGATCACTTAAAATAAATTTTTTGTATTTAAATTGACTGAAATTCTGAAATTTATCCACGGCATAACAGAGTAAATTGTTCAATTTTCGATTCTGCACATTTTGAGCCAAAAACCAGGCTGATCGGTGCACTTTTACGGAAATTAGAGCGATTTAAATAATTAATTATCAATAAAAATATTGAAAAATTAATGAAAAACATTTTTTTCCTCTGAGAACATAGTTTAATATCTCATGTTTCGAAACAAATCGCCACAAAGTGATATTTGTAGCGTTAATTATTTTTTATCAATTTTCTTCTGTCAATAGTGAAGCTTCAGTCGCGAATAACTTTTTATCTATCATAGATATGGAAAAGTGTTCATTACTTTTTTTATTGAAATTACAGTCTAAACAACTTTTATTTAAAACTTATTTTTTATATCTACGTTAAAAATAGAGAAATTCGCGATTGAGGAGGGGGGGGGGCTTGCGATTTACTCCCCCATCTATGCGTGCCAAACATTTTTTACCTACACTATCGTATTCTTCGTGAAATTTCCGATCTAGTGATCTATAAATCATTAGTTTGGCCAAAGCAAACCAAAATTATCCCATTCCCCTCATTTGACTCGACTAAACAGGTAAATTATGACGAGGACTACTTTTTAATTTAAAAGGCTCTGTAGGATAATTAACTTATTTTTTAGACCATTCTCCATCGGAAGTTTTCGATAATCTTTCACGTTTTTTGTTTGTGTAGTCTTTTTTTTTAACTTGGAATTGCTTCATTGGCATTGAATGATTTTTTTTTCGGTTACTTTTAGTTTTTTTTTGTTTTGTACATTTTCAAAATTTTTTTCATTCAATTCTGGGAGTTTTCTTTGGCGCGATTGTTGTGTATTATTTGAATCCATCTGTCATGGATTTTGTTCTTTCAAAACCTTCTTTACATTTTTTATTTGTCTAGTATTAGGACGTTGATTTTTTTTTTCTTCATCACATCCTATTATGAAAATTTTCCATTGATAACTACATTAAATTGAAAAAAAAAACATCGAAATTTGTCACGTATCGTTACTTGTTAGTTTGAACGCTTTACATGCCTTACAACTAAACGTTTGGTCTGAATTATTTAATATGAAGATAATTACTACGGTCCTGTTATTAGGCAATGAAGTGAGCATATGGAGTACAGGGGGGGGGTCTTATACACACGTGACTACATTTAATGGTCACTTACACATACTTAATGCAAATGCAAAACTATTGGCTTTACCTTTTCCACGCTTACATCGATACTTCTCGATGCCCTCAACCGGGAATGAGTTAACATTGACTTAACGATTAGCGGTTAAAAAAATTTTCACGTATCAACTTGACCGATTACTTTGAAATAACTAATCAGTCTAGAACTATTAGAACACTGATTTTCCCCTAGAAATTTCAATAGGAAAGATGCAGGTGATTCTAAATTCTGAAGAAATATCTTTGTTTAACTGCGTATTAGTCTCAAAATCTCATGTGTTTAGCGCAAAAGTTGTGCGAAAAGTA